AATAAATTCTGGCATTGTGAAAAGACACAAATGTGTTCCCCAAAATGTGCTTGTGACACAAATAATAGAAAAGATCAAACAAATACCAGGAAATATGAATATGTAGAGTCTGCTGGGCCCACATTATTGGAACTGGAGGATACTGGTTCTCCAGGTGTCAGAGGCAGAGGCTCTTGGGGTGGGCCCTTTTCAATCCCAGGGTGATGTTGCCCAGAGGAAACCTAATTCCTAGGGCTCTCTTAAATGATGTGATGACAGAATGAAAAACAGGATTTGGAATTTCTGCTTTCAGAAAAAGCAATGGAGGAAAAGCACAGATAAAATTTGATGAGGTTTTCAAGCACAGGGAAATAGGATGAAGATAAGAGAAGGGGGAATGAGGAGGGCAACGGCTAAGAGCTGGGTTAAGACAAAGTCATGTAACACCAGCAAGACCTCCAAATGACAACACTTAGAAATAAAGAAAAAGCTAAGCATCAGAAACTTAGTGAAAGGGTTCATTGGGAACTCATCTGAACAGAGTGATCAGAAATAGATGGTAAACTCTTTAAGGAGTGTGTAAGAAAAAATAATCAGCAAAATAGTCAATAACCTAGGACTGAATCTTTAAAAAAGGCCAACAAATATGAAACAAGTAATTAACCAAAAGAATTTTTTAATAAAAGTATATAGAAACTGACAGTAAGAGCCAGAAGCACATAAATCTGAAATCAAACCCTACCTGAATTCCTCATTTCGTGAATGAATCTGTCATTTAACAGTGTCCTTATCTTTTTTTAAAAAGAGATAGTAAGGCTAGGCATGGTGGCACACGCCTCTAGTCCCAGCACTTGGGAGGCAGAGACAGGTGGATCTCTGTGAGTTTGAGGCCAGTCTGGTCTACATAGCAAGTTCAAGGACAGCTGGGGCTACAGGGAGACCAAAAAGAGAGAGATAGAGAGAGAGAGAGAGAGAGAGAGAGAGAGAGAGAGAGCAAGGACAGCTGGGGCTACAGGGAGACCAGAGAGAGAGAGAGAGAGAGAGAGAGAGAGAGAGAGAGAGAGATGAGAGAGACAGCGCGGCAGAGAGAGACCACTGAGAGAGAGAATACACACCGGTGAGAATTCACTGAGCAAATATTAATTGAGTTTATAAAATGTTAGAGAACAAGGTGAATTTCAAGAGAAAGAAATAAAGTATGTTATTAATCATTTAAAACTGGGTATGGCAGCACACACTTTTAATCCCAGCACCTGGGGGGACAGAGGCAGGTGGATCTCTGGGAGATCAAGGCCATCCTGGTCTACCTAGCAAGTTCCAGGCCAGTTGGGGCTACAGGGAGACCTTGTCTTTTTTTGAAAGTTTTTTTTAGGGGAAGTACTGAAAAAATAGACTTGAACTAAGTCATTCTCTTCCTCTCCTCACTACCAAGTTTTCCGTATACATTTATTTTGTTTAATCTAATATCGGTTTTGTTAACTATTTCACAATTATATTCCATAAGTTCAAACTAGATTACAAGTTCCTTCAAAGACAGCGCTAAAATATGTAGCATTTTTAATATATTTATATAATATATATGTACATATATATCAAAAACTCACTGACTGTAATAGACTGACATATAAAAATTAAGCAATAAATATCCATATTGCAAAGCTGTAAGTCCAGGGACTGTTTTACTGTCTGAAATAATTCATCAAGGTTTTGGTAAGCTCCATCTTATTCTCACTTTTGCAAAAAGCAATATTGACTACACAGAACAGTTTTCCTGAGAGCAAATTAAAAGTCTTTATGCTGACATTGATCTGGAGGACAAAGATAATAGATTTCACCATATTTTTAGCATAACTCTGTTTCACTAATTAGCACTTTTCTTGAATTTAAGTCACTAAAAAACAACTCTGCTTTGAAGAATTGTGTTGCTTAGATGGTCTCTATATAAAGCCCTTGCAGCAGTTTTTGTCATTTATTTGACTGTGAGCACTGGTAAGAAAGGGAAGGGTTGGGGCTGGAGAGTTGACTCAGTGGTTAAGAGCACTGACTGCTCTTGCAGAGGACCCGGGTTCGATTCCCAGCACCCACATGGCGGCTACGAACCGTCCTTAACTCTGGTTCCAGGGGAATCCGAAGCCCTCTTCTGACCTCCTCGGCAACGCACAACATGGGTGCACTCATACACATAAAATTAAAATAATAATTTTTTTAAAAGGGAAAGGTTTCAATCTTCCACAAACATGTTGACCTCAAAAGCCAGAAACTTAATGATATTCTCATCTTTAAGATGGCTCAATAATTAAAAGCACTTGTTTTGGTGAAGTCAGAGGCACTTCCTCAAGACTCACTCCCTCCCTACAACATCACTCCCCAATACTCCACTCCTTCAGAAATCCAGACAAAGAACTTCCTACAAGTGTCAGCTCTCTTAGAAAGTGCACTCCATTGTCTAACTACAAGCAACCAAAGACAAGAATAGAAAAGGTGGGCAGGAAGATGAGTTTGAACACCTGGCTGACCTGAGGCAAACAGCCAAATGCTGCCCCATCAGTGTGGCCCAGCGGGTCCAAATGAGAAAATAGGAACATGAAAGGAGAATAAATCAACAGATAAAGATGTGACTTCTGCTCCCAAAATCCCCCTGCTCCTTTGTTCTAGCTCAGCGCTGCCTCACAGTCAGAGTCCTATCCCAGCATGTTTCTATAATATCCATGCTGTCATCTGCTGTGGTCAACTCCTATAGGATCTCCTATGTCACAGCAATCAGGAAGTATGGCACATCTCAGATTTCCCACATTACAGCTAATAAAATTTACCTCAGGGCTGGAAGGATGGTGTCCTAATTTGTTCTCTTCATTGCTGTGACAAAATACTCTGACCAACACCAACTTGGGGAGGAAAGGATTTATTCAGCTTATATCTACCAGGTCGCAGTTCATCAGGGAGCCCAAGGTAGGAACTCAGGCCAGGAACCTGGAAGCAGGAGCTGGAGCACAAGCCATGGAGGAACACTGCTTACTGGGTTGCTCCCCTGGCCCCTGCTCAGCCTGCTTTCTTATGCAACATAGGCCCACCTGCCCAGGGGTGGCACCACCCACAGTGGGCTGGGCCCTCCCACATCACTCAACAATCAAGAAAATGCCCCACAGACATGGCCACAGGCCAGTTGGATAGAGGCAATTCCCCAATTGAGGAAATTCCCCAACTGAGGCTCCCTCAACCCAGGTGTGTCAAGTTGACACTAAAGCTATCCAACACAGATGGCTCACCAGTTAAGAGCATTGGCTACTCTTGCAAAGGCCCCAGATTGTTTCCACTACTCACATGTCAGCTTGCTGACAGCCATCTGTAACTCCAATCCAGGGTATCTAATGCCCTCTTCTAGCTTCCACAGACATTTCATAACACAGATACACTTATATACAAGCAAGCAAAATAGTCATGCACAAATAATTTAAAATAAATTAATAAATAAAATTTCTTAAATGAAATGAAAAAAAAAAGTTCATCTCCCTGAGCATAGGGGAAGGCAAAGGGCCCATCAGAGTTATTAATTTATAATCCTTTGTGGTGAGTGAAAACATAGAAACAATGATTGGACCAATCAAACCAAACCTTGTCCAAGAGTTACTTTACCTGATTTCTGACTTCTAAATGTTATTTTCTCCAACTATTTTCGCTTTGACAGTTTTACCCAACATTAAGCAATAATTCAAGAAAAACTTAGAAAAAATACTTTCTGTTTATTAGAGTAAAAAGCCAAAAATGTATTCCTTCATCAATTTTCAAAATTATTATTTCTACCCATTCAGCAGTCTGGATAATCAGGAAAAAAAAAGTCTTCTTACTATAATACTAAAATGCTAAAAATAGAAGTGCTAAGCAACAAAATGGTTTAGTTGGTCCTTGACAAACAAATGACTTGTCTCTTCTAGTAAGCAGCTGTTAGGCACCGCCTTGATAAATAACAGCCCCAAGTAATGTACAGCTCCCTGAAACTTCACAGATCCTTCCTTGGTTATCCTGAGTCAAAGATTTCTCCACCACGACTCCAATAGCCAAATTCACCCCCAAAGTCTCTAAGTTCTACTCACATTGTCTTGAAATAATGCATAACTTTACATTCAGTGTCTTTATAACCCTTATGCCCCTAGAAGTTCTAACTCACTAGGCTGAGGTCACAGAATTCCACAAATAACCTCATTCTTAACTAAATGACAACCACACAATCGTATTTTTCCCTTGTCACTTAGCCAAGACCAATTAAAAGAACCATAGGGTTGGAGAGATGGCTCAGCAGTTACGAGCACTGGCTGTTCTTACAAAAGACCTGGGTTTGAATTCCAACACCCGCCTGACAGCTAACACTAATTTGTAACTCCAATTCTAGGGGCTCCAACACTGTCTTCTGTCCTCTGCAGGCATTGCACAACATGGGTGCAGTTGCATACAAACACACAATACATACATACACACAATAAAAGTAAAAAGCAAAAAAGAAAATAATGTTGAAAATTTGCTTTGTGAGAAATTGCATTAAATTATTGTGAACAAAATAAGGAAAATAAAACAGACTGTAATTCAACTGCCTACATTTGAGTTTGTTATTTAAGGTTTTACCCTAAAGTAACAACATGTATCTGAGTCTCCAATAGATGTTAAATGAGGCTAATGAAATGATTTATAAGGGTTCTTCAAGAATAAATAAACTATGTCCCTCAAAATCTGCATGAAATTAAGAAATCTGGAAAGAGTTAGTGTAGAGCAGGGATCAGAAAGAATAGATCTGCATGAAACTCTTGCTCAAACGCAGAGATTTAAAATTCTTTTTCTGGGTTGAATGTAGATTGATGGCAAAGCGCTTGCTGACCATGCTGGAGCCCTACCCTAGTTCAGACCCCAGTACCATAAAATTATTTTAGTAGAAGAGGAGGAAAAGCAACTCAAACTTAAATCCCCATTAAAAATATAAACACTAGCAAACAAAACATTCTGTCGCCTTGTTCAAGTATTGTTCTTTCTGGTATAAACACTGCTCACTAACCAACTGTACCACTGGATAGCCATGATACCAATCCTTTGTTAAGAAAATATCCTCCTGTGCAAAGTTTTCCTTAGGGCAACTTTGACATCCTTATTCCTCAAGCTGTAGATTATCGGGTTTAACATGGGAACCACGATGGTATAGAACAGGGAAGACACTTTTCCTTGATCAAGGGACAAAATGGAAGGTGGTTTGAGGTACATGAAAGCCCCAGAACCAAAGAAAAGAGAAACCACAACCATGTGGGAGCTGCAAGTGCTGAAGGCCTTGGACCTGCCGTCTGTGGAATGCATGTGAAGAATGCTGGAGAGGATGAGGGCATATGAGATGAAGATGGTGACAATGGGCACGCCGATATCAAAGGTCACAAAAATAAAAACTACCAGCTCATTCACATAGGTGCTGGTGCAAGAGCGCTCCAGAAGGGGCAGGATGTCGCACATGTAGTGATTGACAAGGTTGTCAGCACAGAAGGTCAGTCTCACCATGCATGTTGTATGGGCCATAGCTCCGGCAAAGCCCATCACATAGACACCCAGCAAAAGGAGTAAACAGACCCGGGGAGACATGGTGACCATGTACACCAAGGGGTTACAGATGGCAACATAGCGATCATATGCCATGGCTGACAGGAGGAAGGACTCAGAAACAACAAAGAAACAGAAGAAAAAGAGCTGAGTCATACACCCAGGATGGGTGATGATGTTCTTCTTTGAGATAAAACTCATCAGCATTTTGGGGGTGATAGTAGAGGAGTAGCAGAAGTCTATTAAGGAAAGGTTGAAGAGGAAGAAGTACATGGGGGTGTGCAGGTGAGAGTTCAGCCCTATCAGGGTGATCAAGCCCAGGTTCCCCACCACAGTGACCATGTAAAAGCCTAAAAACAGGAAGAAGAGTGGGATCCGGAGTCCTGGCTGATCTGTTAAGCCTGCGAGGATGAACTCGGTCACGGAAGAATTCTTGGCTTCCATTCTCTCTGCAGGGAGGCCTGTGGGACAGAGAAGAGGAGCTCTGGAGAAAGAGAAACACACCCACCACACTCACAAATCCACCCCCTCTTCTAGAAAAAGTAAATCCAAGAGAGAGACGTGAACTCTGGTAGACAGGTTTTTACAATTTGCTGTGGATCACAGTGAATTACCAAGTGACTTAACTTCCAGAGCACAGTAAAAGGCTACACTTGGCTCCAAAATGAAAGCAGATGAGGCCCAACAGAGGGGTACTAAACATGGTGGGCATCTTTTGGGCCAGACCATGAAGTCAGTCTGTTTGCTATGCCTTCCCCTTTCCATCTTCCGCTTTAGTTGCTGAAACCTGGGCCTTTTCCCTAGAGTGAGTCTTAGCAGGCAGAAGCCACCATGGCTCTGGAACAGACAGTACTATAAGTTGAGGCCATGTTTTCCACAATCTCTTATTTCAACTTCAAATAGGGTCAGTAATAACTTTTAAGCTAACACTTATTTGGAGGGTACTGTGAGAGGTGTTAAGAGTTGTGTGTCCATATTTCATGATTTTACGGGTGAGGCTACATAAGCAGCCTAATATCACAAACCCTCCAAGCAGAGCTTCAGCAGCCCTACTCCCAGTTTACATTTGTAACCTCTTTACTACACGACCAGCCGAGGTCAGGCAGGAAAATATCTTCCTTTACTTACACCTGGAATTCTGTACTTCACTGTCCCTCGTTAAAATTTTTCTGGGGACGATAAAGACCTGGTGAATAGAAGACAACAGATTGGAGCTCGGAAAACTTCTTGTCCATCTGAGGTTGTTCAGAATCTCTAATTTATCTCAGAATTCTCTCTGTACTGAAAAACTTGACTTACAACTATGAACTTATCCAAAGTCCACTTCAGCTTCCAGGAAGGAGGCAGCACTTGTCCTGAGCCTTGGAAAACAAAAGAATAAAGTGTATCATTCTGGTTTACAGATCTCGGTGGCTTGATTATGAAGACAGAGACTCCTTTGGGAACATTTCCTCAGAGATTATCCTCTCTAAGGAAGCAGAAATCTGTGTTTATCTTGTAGAATTGCTTGATTTGGAGTTTAGAAACTACTGTTTCAACTAACAGTTATTAAGTATGAAAAAATAACGATCCTGAATCCTCCAACATATCTAAATGTCTAGCCTCATTAAGTCAAATCTTACTAAAAATAAAAAGATGCAGTAAGAGATAACTCATAATCAAAAAGTAAAAACATATTCAGTATATGTAGAACCATCTAGACCTTAATGACGGAGATAGCAGATAAGGACCTTAAAGTAGCTACTATAATCATATTTTTAATTTAGAGAAAGGGAAAATTTAGCTAACAGATAGTAGATTCTAACAGAGTAAAAGAAACAATAAGTAACCAAGTGAAAATTTCCAAAACCTGACAAAAAATAGAGAACGAGGAATTCAATGCATTGAGTTAATGTCACTCTAGACAAAGTCACAGAAAGAGTCAATGAAATCAAAGACAGAATTAACAGAAATTATCCACACCAAATTAGACAGGAAAACTTAATTACAAAAAAAAATGACCACAGGAAACTGGGAGTGATAGCACATGCTTTTAATCCTAGCACTCAGGATACAGAGGCAGAAGAAGGCAGATCTCTGTGAGATTGAGGCCAACCTGGTCTACATGGTAAATTCTAGTTCAGCTGGAGCTACAGGGAGATCCTGTCAGAAAACAAAAAAAAAGGAACCCAAACCTCCAAGCCTGTAGGACAATGTTCAATAGCCCAATGTATATATAACCAATTCCAAAAACTGAATTAAAAATTAGGTAGAAAAATATTTTTAAGAAATACATGAAAAAGTTTTCATCCAATAATGTGATGAAACAGAAAGCAAAATTGTTAAGAGAGCATAAGAAAAATGAATGCAAAACATGCCACAGGTACCATAATTAAGCAGGTGAAATAAGATTAAAAAGAAAGGAAACCTCATTTAGGGTGTTGTTTAAAAGTAATAATTTAGGCTGAAGAGAAGATTAGACACATGTAAGAGTGCAAAAGGGATGAACAATTCCAGAACAGTTAACCAAAAAAGGTTTAAGAAGACAACACTGAAATCACCAATACAATAGGAATTAATAAACATTGGTCAATAATAATTTACAATATTAATGGTCTCCTTTAATCCCAGCACTCAGGAGGCAGAGGCAGGAGGCTCTCTGTGAGATCAAGGCCAGCTTACTCTACATGTGGAGTTCCAGGCCACTGTGGCTATAGGGAAAGCCTGTCTCAAAAAAGAAACAAAAAAAAAAATTAAAAAGCAGAGAAAGCTTGCATACGACTTGTGCATGATGCATGCGATTTGTGCATGCTTGTCACCATTGCTGTGAGTTCATATGAATAATTGACCAGTTGTCTAGAAAACTCTGTTTCCATATGGTCACCCACCCCCTCTGGTTCTTACCATCTTTCCACCTCCTCTTCCACAGTGATCCCTGAGCCTTGGGAGGCAGAGGATTGACATAGATGTCCTATTCAGGAATAAGCACTCTGAGGCAGACAAAATCCTAGCATAAATACATGGAAGTAGGTAAGAAATCCCAAACCAACCTAAGGAAATTCTGGCAATTGATGGCTACTGGGAGGGGAAAGATAGTGTCTAACAGGGACAGGACTCTTGGTGGGCCCAGTGAATGGATCCACACTAAAGGACATGTGGGGATATAAATTGGAATCTATATATCGTATTACATATAGGAGAGTACATTGGATTAGGCAGGGGGGAGGGAGAAGGTGCTGATAGAAGAGGGGATCTAGCCTCTGCTTTCCTGGGCCTGCAAGACCCACAGTCCTCTCTCCTACCTGCAGGCCACTCTCTGGGACCAACCCAGCTCCTCAGGGCAGTCCCCAGGAGTCCTTAGGGCCACTTCCCACCCCCATCTGCCTTTACATCTCTGAGTGTCACTGCCACCAGGTGCCATAGACCAGCATCTTTCCTGGGCCTGGCTCCCAGGTCAATACAACCCCCAAATTCCTGAGGCCAAAATCTTTCCTGGAGGGATCCAGAGCTGAGGAGAAAGGCTGAGAGCATCTTATCCTCATCTGACTTCGGCCTCTGTGGGCACTCCCGAAGACGAAAGAAATCTGACCTCTCCAATATAAAATCAAAAGAGAGAACTGGAAGCTTAGACAAACCAGCTTTTCATGCCCAAAAAGTGAACCACAAAGACACATAAAGTTCACAAAAAGAAGCAGACCTAAACTTGAAGGCTTGAGTCTCATACAAGAATCAGAAACTACAAAAGAAATTCACATGTCAAAATCACAGAGAAAAAATAATAACATGAAAAACCAAAATAACATATCCCCACCAAATACCAATAGTCCTCTAGAGGAGTACAATGAGAACCCC